GATCTACACTTCGTCAATAATAGTCACTTTCTACATACTTGCATCTTGCGAAGACTCTGTTGATCAAAGTCTTCAGCTCAAGTTGCTCGTGTCTCTCTCTCAACGTTCAACCATACTCCGTGAAGGCTCAACAGTCACCTTCTGTTAATCTTTAACCAAACACTACCGTCAATATGAGACCCAAGCTGTCCGTCGTCACTTCGACCGCGCAGAGTCTTACTCGTCCTTCATTATCGCTCAAGTCTCCTGGTCCTTTCCCCCGCACGCCAATCTCGCCGGTTCCCCCAAGCCCGGGCGGAAAGCGTTTCTCGAGTATTCAAGCGCAATCGTACAATTACACCAATTCGTGTAAATCAAAGAGCATCCTCAAGAAGCAGCCCATGGCCAGTGCAACCAGCCACGCAGAGAAGCGAATCCAATTCCAGGGTACTCCTACCGTACACTGCGTAACGCCAATCGAGAACCCCGAGGAGTACTACGGCACCTACAAGAAACTGTCAAAGGAAGAGCGACGCTGGATGGTGCGTGAATGAGCGGTTCTAATGACGTGGTACGGTGTCAATTTCAACACCAGATCTGCCAAAACCCGGACCTTAAGGTCGACAGTTGGGTTCCCGGAGACGGCATGCTTTCTGGCGTCTGCGCCCGGCTCCGACATTGGGATCGTCGCAAGAATCCAAAATTTTGCATTGTTGGTGCAACGTTTGGATTCGATGATTGTTACTCAGATGAGATCTCAGCGAGAGAGATAACCCGTGAATCGGTGTGTACATAGATACTATTATGGCTTATGACGTGATGATATGATCCAAAGGCATTTTTTTATGACCGAAGTGTTTGTTGTAATCAAACTATGGTGAAGTGTAGATTGTAGGACGTAGACCGAGGTAGGTGGACATCATTACTCTATCTCCTACAGCCCAGAGCATGTTAGCAACACCTAACCTGACTGCAGCACATTGTATTATGTAGATATCCTCTCTCTACTCCGTATGTTGAGTATACCTTAGACCTTATACCTGTTTAGGGCTGTGTTCCAGGGCTTCGATGGTCCGTGCGGGTTCCGGGGAATGTTTTTCGCAGCGCAACTTCTAACGCCATGCTGCCAAAGAACCAGTTTCGATCATCTCTCAATGCTGATTTCGAGATCTGCATCTGCTCTCCTCCGTGGGAGAATATGCAGTGCTTCAAAAGTTATTCAGACAGCCCGGAATCGAGGACTTCTTACCCTCGCCATTGAAACGTCATGGTAAGTCTTCTTGCTACCGTCGGACTACACCACCCGTCCGGATTTCGCTCATTTCCGTCCTCCTTCTAGCGACGACACATCAGTTGCGATTGTTGAGAAAAATGATCGATCCAGAGATGTTTCCGCGAGAATTCATTTCCTCGAGAATGTCACGGCAGATACCAGGGAATATCGAGGCATTCACCCTATTTTAGCACTTGAATCGCATCAAGAGAACCTGGCCAAACTCGTCCATAAGGCGCTCCAGCACTTACCATCAGTATCAGAAGACGGCGAGGATAGATCGAAATTGATAAAACTGTCAGATGGTTCTCAACGGCGCAAGCCGGATTTCGTCTCGGCCACCCGCGGGCCTGGGATGCGTGCGAACCTCTTCACTGGACTCGATACAGGCAAAGGGCTGGCTGTCGCATGGCAGATCCCATTTATCGGCGTCCATCATATGCAAGCTCATCTCCTGACCCCTCGACTTGTTTCCGCCTTGAGCCGAGCGCAACATGACAGCGATGTCGCCTCTACCAACCAACCCCTAACCCCCGAGTTTCCCTTCCTGTCTATACTTGTCTCCGGTGGCCATTCAATGCTCGTCGAGTCTACCTCTATCACAGACCATACGATCATGGCCACGACTGCGGATATCGCGATCGGCGAATCTCTCGATAAAGCAGCACGAGAGATTCTCCCAAGCTCGGTCCTCAAGGAAGCCAAAACTACAATGTACGGCAAACTGCTGGAACAATTTGCCTTCCCCGGCGGCAGTGCTGATTGGAGCAGCTACTGTGCTCCCAAGACCCGAGGGGAGGAGCTGATCAAGCAGCCAAGTCCGTGGGGCTGGACCCTCACGTCTCCATTCGCTAATACCCGTCAGTTGCAGTTCAGCTTCTCTTTTTTACCGAGCATGATAACAAAACTGATGGGGGCGAAGAAGACCGCAGGCGAGGACGTCTCGGATGAGGAGCGAGTTACTCTGGCCCGTGAGGCGATGCGCGTCTGCTTTGAACATCTTGGTTCGCGTACGATCATCGCTCTTGAGGAGCTGCAGCAGAAAGCGCGGAACAAAGGTGTCCCAGAGATCAAAACTCTTGTTATTAGCGGTGGAGTCGCGGCTAATAGGTTTCTGATGGCTGTGCTGCGGTCGTTCCTTGATGTCCGCGGGTTCGGACATGTTGAGATTGTTGCGCCGCCGCCGTACTTGTGTACGGACAATGCGGCCATGATTGGGTGGGCTGGGATTGAGATGTTCGAGGCAGGCTTCAGCACGGATCTCAGTGGCAGAGCTCTTAGGAAGTGGGCTCTTGATCCCCGTGCTGAGGATGGCGGTCTTTTGGGCGCTGACGGGTGGATGATAAAGTAAGGCGATGATACTGTATACTAGACTGCTCTCTACTGTACCATACGTTGCATTGTTTTCTGTACAGTGAATTTAAAGACGAATGTGTGGATTATGGAGATTCTTTCGATATCCTTGTCTTGAATGTACTTTTCTCAAATATGTTCATGTCGTAGCCATCCAGCAGTACAACAGGAGAAGATGCCACAGGAAGTAGCGGCACTACCCAATTCCTGACGCATACCCCGAGTTCGCTTACCACACTGACCAGGGCGCTCGGTCTGGTAACAACCAGCAAAAGCCACCAGCAGCCAGCATATCCTCGATTCTTCCTCATGGACCGAGGCCCTTGAAGCTTTGCTTCAGACTCGGCTTGACAACGGTACCATCCCCGTATGTTGTTTCCTCACCTTAGAGCTAAATCGCTCCTTTTAAATCAACCTCCAGGAACAGTAGCTCCCTCGCGCAACGCCGTTACCTGCTTGCGAAGCTCGAGAAAGAAGTCTTTGCCGTTTGCCATCGTGTTGGCTGCCCGTGTGTTAACAGCGTTGAACTAAGCGAAAGTGACGGATCGGTGGGAGGATAACGTACGCTTTGCACCCCAGGGTCCGCTGGCACGGTTGCTGTTTGCATCTTTTCCATTTGGTCTGTAGAAGAAAGGCTTGGGCTCTGGTGAGGATGGTCAGCGACTCTTCTGCTCGTGGCGGACATGTAGGTTCCGGCTGGATGGACAGATATTACCTCCAGGGCCTAAAGATACACCAGAGAGTGTTAGTAGATCGTAAAGAATGGAGTAGACGATCAGGGATGCCCACCTCTCCGTAGAGCAGCCTTCAACTCTGCGGAATTGAGCCCGCGCACAGGAACGTGCGCCTGAGACGGCCCGGTGGCGAGTTGCTCGCGGGAATCCGTCCAGGGAGCTGAGTTCTGTCCGGCACGATTCCCGCTTTGAGCGCCCATGTTCCTCGAGTTAGAGTGTCTTTGTCCCGACTGGCGGTTTTGATCGTACGGACGACCTCCGCGCCATCTAGAGGTACAACGGTCAGTGAGAAGATCTGGCTTGTTTAACTCGAAATAGAATTTTATATGGGGATCCACACCGTTCTTCACCGGGACCACTCATGCTGGAACAAGCTGATTGCTCCGTTGTAGAGGTAAGTGAGAATGATGGATAAGCTCCGCGTTGCTTGGGAATATCTGATCCGGGGTGGAGTCTCCGCTCTGGGTGGCCCAGGGCGGTTTAGCGCCAAGACATTGACAGTAGTGGATTGCGGACGTCCAGCTGCCGTCGCGTCGCCCCTCGCCGTCGCCCGTCATGGCCGTGGAGCCTTCTATTTACTGCTATTGCTATTCATTCCGTGCACTCGTCAAGTCATGAGTTGCGCTCCTATGTTGTTTGATTTGTTTTCTCTGCAAAGCACGGCGCGGTCTGGAAACTTTACATCTGAATTTTGAAGCTCAGCGGCGAACTCAACGAACCGCCATTCAGGGACGCTTTATTAAGCTACCTTCAATCGGTTTCTGCCATTTCATGAACTTTCTCCAGGATGGCGCCGTATTCTTCATCGAAATATCGCTTGTCGGCCGGCAGGGCCTCGCGAAAGGGCCCGAAAGTTGCCCTCAAGGGGCCAGACCCTGAAGCCAACGAAGGCCCGCCTCTCAAGAAACGACGATACATTCCCGGAGGACCTGGAGGTGGAGGGAGATATGTCGAAATCGACGTGGACGAACCTCCCAAGATCAAACGAACCCCAATCAGACGGAGCTCGTCCTCGCGAGGTCGACCTGCACCCGAACCTGCGCCCGAACATGCACCCGAACCTGAACCTGAATCCGAGCCAGAGCCTGAGCCTGAACCTGAACCCATAGCCGAACCTGAACTTGAACCTGAACCGCAACCAGTCCTTCTCCCTCCGCCGCCGCCGCCCCCCCTTGTCCCGACGACTCCCCCCTCTGCTCGTCTGAGAAGGGATAAGTCGCAGAGTCGTGGTCGCTATGGCTCGTCGACCGCCGCCGCTTTGGCCCTACAGCAGGGAGACGGGTACAAACCACGTGAAGAGCGCGGTTGGGAGGAGTTCCACCCGGACTTGGATATCGATGCCAAAATTGCAGTTTTGGACGCAGAGGAAGTAGATCGTCCGGCTCCGTCGACACCCATTACGGAGATATTGCAGTTGAACGGTATCGATATTAATGGGAGCAAGGATCCGTTAGCTGAGCTTATCAAGCTGCATACCAGTGGCGCATCTCCTTCACCTATCAAGCGCAAACCAGGTCGTCCTCCCCGTCGTCCTGAGGCTATCCTGAATGCCCTTGGTATCACTCCCCAGCCGAAAGCTATACCGCCACCAGGTCCAAACCCACGTGAGAGGCTCACTCTCCCAAAGCCGTCGTTCCGGTTGCGGGATCCGTTTGTCTTCTATGATCAGCCAGGGATTGGCCAGCAGAACTACGTGGACCGGACGATGGCGAGTGTGGGCTACCAAGAAAGCGATCTTTTCGTCCGTCATGAGCGGCAGATGATCCGTATGACAGAGGGGGCGCAAGAGGATGATCTGGATATTATCAACCCACCCACCACCGAGGGGGAAGTCAATACGTCGGTTGGCAGAGTTGAATATGACATGGATGAGCAAGACGAGAAATGGCTGGAAGACTACAATACGAAGCGAAGGGAAGAGCAGTTGGAACCTATCAAACCAGCTGTCTTCGAGATTACCATGACGAAAATCGAGAAAGAGTGGCATACTCTGGAAAAGCGTATACCGAAGCCGAACCCGAAGCCTCCACAGACACAACGCCCCCGGTCAAGCTCCGCGGCAGCCGTGAATGGAGAAACGACTGCTCCGGGCGAGGAACAAGACAGTAAATGCGCTATCTGTGACGATGGCGATTGCGAAAACGCCAACGCCATTGTGTTCTGCGATGGTTGTGATCTCGCGGTACATCAAGAGTGTTACGGTGTTCCCTTTATCCCCGAGGGGCAATGGCTGTGTCGGAAGTGCCAGCTGATCGGACGGGGATCCGTCAACTGTATCTTCTGCCCGAATACGGAGGGTGCTTTCAAGCAGACTACGAGCTCAAAGTGGTCTCATCTACTCTGTGCCATTTGGATCCCAGAGGTCTCCCTTGGCAATCCTTCCCTCATGGAGCCGGTGACTGATGTTGAGAAAGTTCCCCGGAGCCGTTGGAAGCTAACTTGCTACATCTGCAAGCAGCGAATGGGAGCGTCAATTCAGTGCAGCAACAAAAACTGCTTCGTTGCCTTCCATCCTACCTGTGCACGCCGGGCTCAGCTTTACCTCAAGATGAAATCCGGCCATGGAGCTCCTGCCATCATGGACTCTCATCTTCTCAAGGCGTTCTGTGATAAGCATGTCCCTGACGATTGGCGCTTGGAGCATGGCACCGATGCTGCTACGGCGGATGCTATAGAATATTACCGCAACACAATGCAAGGCAGGCAATGGGGTGATAGTCAGGCGGCCGCTCTGTCGCTGGAGCCATCCCATCCTTTGGGAGCTGAGCCTGGCGAACTCGATAGACAAAGGACACATACCCCGCGCATCACGCTTACTGTTGGTGGTAACAAAAGGAAGCGCATTGGTCCACCCAAGACGATATGGAAGCTCCCGTCTGGTGCTCCGGTTATTCCTCAGGTTGTCCTTAATTCTGTAGTGGCGTCCCTTCAACGCTTTGGCGTTCGGCAGAGGAAACAATATGCCGAAGATGCTTGCAAGTACTGGACACTCAAACGCGAAGCCAGGCGAGGAGCAGCTCTTTTGAAACGACTGCAGTTGTCATTAGAAACTTTCTCGTCAATGGAGATGACACGAAGAGATTATGTCGCCATGGGGGTCAGTGGTGGCAAGCGACTGCAGAGGCGCATCGAATTCGGTGAAAGATTGTCGTACGACCTGGATCGGCTCAGGATGCTGTGCGACGAAGTAAAGAAACGCGAGCGGGAAAAGTTGAAGGATGCGGAACTTTTAAGGTCCATTGTGGATACCGTATACTTCCCTATTTTCCCTTTGCTCTGGCCTATCTATGACAAAGCTCAAGGGTGAGTATTCTATCTCTGGCTTCGAAGGGTTAGAAGTTTCTCGCTAATAGCATCTTAGACTTGACGGAAAGGGCGTCTTCAAACAAGGCCTGCTTTCTCTACGCATGAAACTTCAGCAGCGGTACTACACATCGGTTGCAGCCTTCTCGGCCGACCTAGCTTCCATATTCACGTCGGAGATCGGGGTGCAACCTGCCGGGGACACTGCTGAGTTACAGATGCAGATCAGCGGGCGCGCTCCTGAACTTCCTCTTGAACAGCGTGAAAAGAGGAAATTGGCTAAGCGTATCATCAAGGCCATCCAGCCCGCTCTCGAGGATGCGATCAAGAAAGAAAGCGAGCTCAACCGCAAGCCTTTCGAGAAGGAACTAAAAGAGCTGGATCTTATGTTTGAGAACAGCGTCCTCTCCCGAAGAGGGTCCGTGGAAGAAGGATCTGCAGAGCCGGCTGAAGGCGAGACACATACCGATAATCTTGTCCCGAGTGAAGTACCGGATGGTATGCAACAGAACGTTAGCGGTAAAGCAGAAATTTCTGCTAAATTCGAGCCTCAAGAGGAATCATCCTCCTCGGCCCTAGCTGAGAAGTCGGAGGACACTTCCATGCCTGATGCTGGGAGTGAGCAGTCTATCCCAGATGCTCAAGTACAGGATACTCCCATGACTGATTCTGCTGAACTTACTGCCCCTGCGGCGGTGACTGAGCTGGAAAATCAGATCGCTCCTGCAGCATCGGCAACAATTCCCACCAGTGCTGAAGCACAGCAGGAAGCCGAGCCAAGCAAGGAGGAACTTAATAGCCCGCCACCACTCGCACAGCCGGCTGAATCCCAGAAAGGGCTTATTACGCCTCCACCAAGCTTTCAGGGTGATCCGCAGCATCCCTTGTCGCAGGGTGGTATTCTATGGTACATGCAACCATTCGATCCCGTCGGAACGACTATCCACGAAGAACGCTGGACCGGCCGCGACGTCATGCGGGGGATGAGTGAGGAGCTTAGTGAGTTGGATGAGGACGAATTGAAAGACTTGGTAGACGATGAGATGGAGGGGGACTCAGCGCCCACTGATACTGCTGCTGCTGCGTCAGAGGCTCCAACCAGCGAGACGGCTGTGAAAGTTCATCGAACTCGGAGGCGATGGCGTGGATTCAAGTGATTCTTCGACGTACTTGCGAGCATGATTTTAGCAAACTTGCTTCCTTCTCTACGATTCTGCTTGAAATCCTTTTCTATTCCCCTTGTGAGTTTTATTTCGAACCTTTAGAGATGGGAACAAAGGCGTTATGAGTGTCACAACCGCGTCGATGAAGCATTGTTTTGCGCTTGTTTGCGCATTGTGCTCTTTACTAAGAATGAGAATTAATTGATTGCGGACGAATTGACCCCTGAGTTTACTGCAAAAAAAGAAAAAGTATTTCCCTCATCTGTAGAAAGTAGAATCTTTCCCAGCTTGTACTGATCTGTCGACAGAAGATACTTGTTGACAGGTATCTACATGTTGCCACAGGCAAACACCAGGCGGCCTGAGGCTTGGCGCCATCCACACGAGAACCGCGCCCAGTCTGGAATTGCTCGCCTCGCTTTTTCCTGCTCCATCTCCCCCTTCCTTTTCACCATACCATCATCATCTCCCATCATCCTTCATCTCCCATCTCTTTCATCCCTCCTTCCTTTTCTACTTCTCTTTCTTCTTACGGGAATCTGATAACTTCAGGTTTTCAGCATTCCTAACGCAGACTAGTCTAATCCGCGACCGTTGCTGATCGGATTTTTCCGCTTTCCTTTTTTTCCCCTTCATCCAACCGCAGCCTGTTGCAGGACGTGCATCTCGCGCGCTCTTTCGAGTAACAAGCTTCGTTCATCTTTTTACCTCCCTTATCACCTATCCACTTTCTTCGCTTCATCCTCTATCCCAAAATCAACATCATGTCTGCTGAATACGATAACGAGAACGGTCGCTACGACGGTATGTATTTGCCTAAAGACATCCCGATCGACAACTGCCTTAGTCGTCAACACAGCGGTCGCAGTACTAATTTGTTTTGCTTCTCTCGACTTCAGACGAGCCTCGCTTCGCTCGCGACCGCAGCGCTTCTCCTCGCGATGAGCCTCGGGGCGATCGTGCTCGCAGCCGTTCGCCCAATGGACGTGCCGATGAGCGGTAATTTCGCCCTTTCTTAGATTATCACTTCCTTTGTATCGCATGAACCAGCACGCTGATATCTCTTGTTCAGCGCCCCTGTCGATTCCCGCAAGCCCGACGATGATGAAGAAGGTGCCATCAACCCGGGCTCGAACCTTTTCGTCACTGGTATCCACCCTCGTCTGACCGAGTCCGATATCTCCCGTCTGTTCGAGAAGTACGGCGATGTCGAGAACTGCTCGATCATGCTGGACCCTCACACCAAGGAGTCTCGTGGCTTCGGCTTCGTCAAGATGGTCACTGCCGAGCAGGCTGATGCTGCCAAGGAGGGTCTCCAGGGTGAGGTTATCGAGGGCCGTACTCTGAGCATTGAGAAGGCCCGTCGTAGCCGCCCCAGAACTCCTACTCCTGGCAAATACTTCGGACCTCCCAAGCGTGGTAAGTCCTCATTATTGTKGTTCAAGGATACAATTCAACTGCTAACTCGTTCCTTCCGCAGACTTCCGTGGACCTGGTGGTGGCCGCGGTGGCCGTGGTGACCGTTACGATGACAGACGCGGACCTCACGGTGGCGGCTGGCGTCGCGGCGGCGGCGGCGGTGGTGACGACTACCGTTATGGTCGTTATGATTCCTACAGTGAACGTCGTGACTATGGAGGTGGCCGCGAAGGCCGCGAAGGCCGCGAATACCGCGACTATCCTCGTCGTGAATACCGTGACGACTACAGCTACCGTGGTGGTGGTGGTGGTGGCATTGATCGCTACGCCTCTGGTAGTGGTGGTGGCCGTGAAGAGCGGTACAGTCGCGAGCCTCGCCGTGACGATCGTCGTGGCTATTATGATCGTGATGCTAACCCTCCCAGCTACGGCGACGCCCCTCCTGCCCGTGAACCCTACGCTGGCCGCTCTTATGAACCCCGTGGTGGTGAAGACAGATACAGTGGCCGGTAGGTGAATTGACGACATGGGAAGCCAACACTCGAGCCGAGTTCATGCAACGTAATTATTCCCCGTGTTAGTCTTTTCCTCTTTTCGCTGGCTTTTCTCCATCTTCCTATCCTCGTGCCCCTTTCTCGTGTGACGTGCCATTACTCTTCCATTTTCCTTGAAACGCTTTTATTTCGAGAATTTCCCCTACGATGGGTCTCGATTCGACTGCCGACCCTAGGGCGTGATAGTTTGTTTTCTTGTCTTCGAAGGAAAAGTCGTCTTCACATTCACATGTTTTTCCGATCGGAAGACCACCAGTTTTGCGACCTATCTCTCAACCACTTCAAAACAAACCAAGCAAGAAAGAAAGGCCAGGACAGAACGGTGTCGACTCTCTTCGGTCACAGGCTGATATTTTTCATTTGTTCATCGCTTCGATACACCCGGGAAATATGGCGGCAGGAAAAGAGAAACAAATTTTCACAATAACGTTGTAATTCTTCGGATTATCTCATGGGTCAGCACTGCTACATTTGCAACTCTTCCGGAAAACTTGGTCGTTGTCTCGCTAGTCAACTTTTCGCCTTATTGCGTCTTATACAGCTTTCTCTACGTAACGACTCGATTGTATTCGGCCTGAACATAAACAAACCAAATGACTTCAGCCCATCCACCCACACAAGAACTCTGTTCTTACGCCTTGTTTGAAAGAAACTGACTGAACGGGATCCGGCTTTTCCTCGCCAATTCTGCCACAGCCGGTGTTATTTTGTGCCTGTAGTATCGCCAACCCGAGAACAGCCTTCTCCAAGTGGCATCTTTTGTTGCGCCGGGCCAGATCAAATTAGTCCAAAGTAATACCCTGGGTTGATTCGCTATCTACAGGCCTGCCGCCGCATCCTCAAGTGGCTGGTTGACACATGTCGCGGGCACTGATTGATGGCAATAGCCCGAGAGGTAAGGATAAACATTAGGAAAAAGAATACTAACGTCAGATACAGTAATAACTTCTATTCAACCACTTGCCATGATCGGAGTTTTCGGGCAGAGCCCTCCTTTCTCATTCTACTCCAACCTTCTGCTAGCCTTGTGGTGACGGTTCTTTCATCTGGCTCTCCTGCGACACTAACAATCAGGGTTATTGTTATCACAAATCTACGTTGCCTAGTGTTTTTCTTCTAATATGAGAAATCTGCTCCTAGCGACATTCTTCTTATGCATCAGTGGAGTAGTCATCATATGGTAAAGCCTTGTTTTGGAGACCCTAGTCTTTCTGATGTCAGGCCCTGTGTTAGAACCAACTCCGATTACAATACTATGTCGACTGTCATCATAAGTCGTTATTTTATAACCTTTATTATCCAGTTGATCTTGTTTCACCAGCCGTGCTCAGCATTCTGTTTGTTAAGGGCATGTGATTTCAAGGTTAATGCTGAATGACTTCGAAATATATATATATATTACAGTAACCGCCAGGCCGCATGCACGCGAGAACTACAAGATTATTACTGTGATTCATATAACTGAGATATTTTATGTCGTCGCCTCTAGAGAGGCAATATCAACCTTAAGATTAAGACTCTCGCTATATCCACAATATGCAGGTAAAAGGCGTGCACCTTCGCTGAAATCTAGCTTGCAACACAGACTGGAAATCTTGCCCGTGATGGGATGTTCTCCCGCAAGACTGAATAATTCAAGTCGAGTATTCAATGTCAGCACAGCGATAATCTGTGGAACAGACAGATATTGACGAGAGTCCATGTCCCTTCTCATCAGGATCGCAGCTGCTCTGAGTCAAGGGCTGGTGTGCTGCTCACGCTCATGCAGACGTAAGCATTCAGTTGCCTTTCTGAGATTCGCTCCACGAGGCACAGTAGATATGAGGTAACCGATCCTCGGTGGAATTCACAGCGCTCGCTAGCGCCATCGTCCGAAATCCCCAGCCTATTCAGGCGACTTCTTTGTAGGCACCGCTCCGCCCTCAATTTCGTTGCTCTTCTGAATCAGAAACTCGCCTAGCATGCGTAGGGGATCTGAAGGTCTATCGCAAAGGTGATATTAGTACTAGTCGCGTGAATGATCCTTGTTCCGTGCAACGCCCTGCGCTGAGCTGTTACGCGGCAGGCGCATTTCACGAGCAATAAGAAGCCACTCACTGTTCCTTGACGATGGATTTCATCCCCTCAAGCAAGTACGGCACTATCTTTTCGTTCATGTATACTCGTGCGGGCGCGCCGCCTGGACGGACCTGCGCTGCGGGGGTATTCGACTCTGCTCGGGGGGTGTTTGCTGCGCCGGTATTGCTGCCAGGTGTTGCTCCGTTGCCCATGTTGAATAGATGTGATGCGCTTGGTCCGGAGGTCGGATCACTGTGTTGGATTGAATTGTTCGGAGGCGCAGAGGTAGAGACTTCTTTCTTGATTGAGGCGGCCGAGCCGGGTGACTAAAGACTAGGAGTCAGATGGAGGCGTAGCAATCTCAGCGTATGACTGATTGAAGCAAGGGAGGAATGAAGCGACAGGCAAGATTAGACAGAAAGTTAAAAGTGATGTCGCAGTTGGATCGAAGAAAGTCTCCCAGGGCGGAGCTTGCGGGCGGAGCTTCTTCGAGCTCTCCACTGTGGGGATGGTCATGAAGGGAGGTATGTCTCACAGGAACGTCCGCCATGGCTACTATTATGTCAAAAGATGATATATATACAGACTGCGAGGGTAGAAGACATAATTCATGCGCTTACTTTAGATGCGTACAATTGCGCCTTCATCTAGCGCTGCTTATCTTCCTGCCCCCTGCCAGTTGGTCAGGCTGCAAACATATCAAACAGGTACAAAATTCAATTAAAATCATGTGACTTCGCGTCTTTGCGTGACACGTTTGGGCGCCAAGTAACGGGGGTGGTCTCTTTCAGACTTCAATAACGGTTGTGTCAGCGCGTCGTTGGCAATCTAAAATTAATGTTACGGATGCTGTCCATAGAGATTCCCTAAAATCTGGTCTCGAATGATCAGATCAAATCTCCCGAGGCAGCATGTCCCTTCTGGACTTCTGGGACACATCGCGCCCTCAAGTGAAGCGCAGGAAGACTACCCCGAACGAGGGTCAAGAAAGTCCCAGAACAGTCGCACTTCGGAAAGAGAATTCCAGCATCAACGAAATTGAAATCGATAGCTCTGATAGTCCGTTAGATACATGGGATGCCCTGCCCTCGGCTCAAGTCGCCGGCGATTTCGCGCTCGAGGACGAGAACCCAATCCCAAACAGCCAGACAGAACTAGAGTCTTCGCTACCAGATATTCCAACAGATAAACAAGCTATCGAAGAGTATGAGATTTCGCATTCAGTAGAACAGGATGACGAGCCTGATCTGCGCCAGAGGCTTCAAGACGGCAAATGGCGGAAGGGAAAGAGCTCAATCTATGTGGATGCGTTCAATCTGGCACTGGAAACTGTGCTGGACGAAGAAGCCCATCTTTTCAATGAGGCGGAATTAGAGATTTTCAAACAATGGAAGGAGCTGTCGTATGAGTCCCAATACTTGTGAGTGGAGACATCAGATTCTTGTCAGCTGAAACAAGCTGATCGTTCATCATCAGATATGTACGGCTCTTCCTTCGTAAGACCTCGGCTTGGCATCGCATCAATCGCCTGGGTTATTACTCCGACATTAGCGACATGTCCCAGGCGGTGGCTGATCTTCGGTCTAGCCGTAAACTGCCTGTCCCTCTAGTATCTTCGTATGATAACTCTGAAGATATGAGTTCCGGCAGTGGTGCGGACCTCGCTCATTTCAGGTTCGCCGATGACACTGATGAGATAACGACTTTGGAGGAAGCATCCTCTCTGCTACTTCTTGAAGAACTCAAAGTCCTCGCAAAGGACGCAAAGGTTCAAGGAAAGAGTAAGAAGGAGCTGCTTGAAGCCTTTCGCGCGTCCAGCCAGAGACAAACAGGTCTCAACTGGAACGACAAAGAGCAAGACTCAGCCCCTGCTCCCAATCGAGATGACCATTATATTCAGAAAATCCTTGAGTATACCGGCGACTGCATCAGACTTGCGCCGGGGCCTTATGCTCTCTTCGAGAGAGTCCATCTTGTCTTTTACAGGTCCACAGAGTGGACGGAGAAATCCCTCACCACTATAATTCTTGCGAAGATCTCCCGCAGGAATTTTCCCGAGTATGTTGTATGCCGCTCTAGCTCGATCTTTCCGTCCAGAGAATTTCTGCTAGAATTCGAATCAGCACTTCGGAAACAGCATCAAATAGACAATCTTCTAGAGTTCAACGGTACACCCACTCAGGAAAGGCTGGAGCATGTGAAACGCGTTTGTACAGACGTCTATCCCCGATGGAAAATTCTACTCGAACAGGAACAGCGCAAGGAAGACACGATCTACGAAGCGGGTGAAGGTGCCTACTTACGTCGCTTTTCTCCAGCCTGGGTCTATACCAGGATCATTCATAAAGGCCTTCATCCGCTTGGGCGCTTCAAAGAACACAGACGGGAACACGAAATCCTGTGTGAATTGCTAGGCCAGCGCTTGTTCCACGCTGCCCGACGTGGCGCATGGTATCAGCGAAAAGCACTGTTGGAGGAACACTATATGTGGGCTCTTACACCTTCTGATGGACGGTGCGAGGACCTCCAGAAGAAACACTGGAAACGAATTGCTCTGCGGACATGCGAAGAAGGGCTGGAAGACCCGGACTGCCATCTCATATACCACTATGATCTTCAAAAGCGGATCACAAAGCTGGAAAGGGCTTTGAAAATAGTCAAGCGTGAGCAACACGACTTTGGCCATGTCATGTTGGCCAAACCAGAAGTACGGACGATTGAGGGTATACGAATCGAAAGAGAGGACTCACCAGCTCGCGCTTCAGGAAAAAGCGAGGAAGCCTCGACCAGGCGAGGACGCCCAACTGTCTGGATTGACGAGAGAGAAGGCGGAAGCGAATGCAGAGTCGAAAACATGTGTTTGAGCTGGTATAGGGATCATGGCTGGAAGGGCTACCATGCTGAAGGAGGGATCGTCAGAACCTTGGTATGCCTCATTCCATCTCGCATAATATCAAAGCTAACATACAAACCCTAGTTCGGCTACCTCTTCTACGACATCCTATTCACCTACGTCCCTAATGTCTTCCAGACACCCTTTCAAACCTGTCCGCTAGATCTCCACACTGATGCATTCTACCCCTCTCGCGCATCAGAGATCAATCACCGTCTGGTAGAAATAACGAACGGCGCTGCGGAGAGAATCATCCGCGATGTCCATGAGCGCGAATCAGCGAAGCAGACCTGCGCCATCGGCATAGACTGGTCCTTTGAGCTGGACGACTTGGTTGAGATTGTGCAGTGCTTTCGAGGCGAAGCTCTCGCCACTATCTGCAAGGTTATGGCCCAGGAGTATCAGCAGCGCGGTGGAGGAATACCTGATCTCTTTCTGTGGAGTGTGGAGAAGAAAGAAGTCATGTTTGCGGAGGTCAAGTCTGAAAATGATCGTTTGAGTGATACCCAGAGGTTGTGGATTCATGTGCTTACTGGAGCGGGCGTGAGAGTCGAGCTTTGCAACGCGGTTGCGAAGGAGGTTAGACGAGCGAGTTGATTTCGCATATACTTGGTGTAATGTATAGAAGAATCATGTTGTACAGCTGTTTATACCCTGCGGGCAGTCATATTTACCGATATCTCAAGTGAAGTACTTTCGAAGCTACAGTTGACAAATCTCAGGTAGTTAAAATTTTGTTTTGATTTTTTGACTATTCGCGACCAGAGGTATCTAGGATCGTTCATGCATTAACACTAGGAGAGTCCTAGTCGATCACCCGGCAACCATCTCAGGTTGCCAGAGCGAAATTCCTCATCGACGACGAAATGTCAGAACCAACAACCACACACCAAGACCAGAGAGATGGCGAGCCGCTTAAGCGACAAGGGTGCTGGCAGTGGCGGACTCGTAACGCCAGGTGGGGGGCAGGACACCGACGGACTTGTAGTAGCGGGACAGACGGTGGATACGAGACTCGATGAGAATGAGGCGGAACTTGCTGTCCTTGTCCTTGCGGTTGCGCTCAAGGTGCTTGCGGACGGCGACGGCCTACAACAGTCAGTAAGACGCAAATATGGCGCAAGAGAGAATGCAACGCTACCTTCTTGATCAGGAAGTAAAGGTCCTCGGGGAGTTCGGGAGCGAGGCCTGTTTTACGAAAATCTCTCTGTCAGCCTGTGGATTGACCAAGCAGAGGCATAGAGAAAACTTTTGCATTTCTGCGAAAAGATATTCTCACTTCCAGTGATAGAGTCGGAATCGAGGCGGGGGATCAAGACGGGCAACAGCGGTTTCATGCAGAGGTATTTCTACGCTCGTGCATCTCATTCTCAGAGCAACCGCCGTACATCCTTGTCCATAATCCCTCGCCTTGATATCCTCGTCTATACTGGTGCGATTGGAGTGATAATGGACGGTACCGTACCATTGGACTTCAAGATACGGAGGATCTTGTTACCTGTTGCAAAATGCGATGTTAGCGCACGGTAGACGCGGAAAGGACGAATATTGAGTAAACGTACCAGTGACAACCTTGACCTGGGCAACGCCGTGGCTGTCACGGAGGACAACACCGATCTGGGAAGGGGTAGCACCCTTTCTGGCGAGCTTGCAGATCTGGTCAACGACCTGGTCGGGGGTGGTCTTCAACCAGGCAGGAGCAGAACGGCTGTAGGGAATAGCAGAGGCGCTAATACCCTTTCCCTTGCTGTGCATACGACTGTAGCGAGATCGTTAGTTCGAATGTTCGGGATAGCGACTATGGTGATACGTTGCGAGTCGCATCGATCGCGAAGAGCGATAACTTACCCCATCTTGAATTATTGTCGGGGGTGAACTGGTCGGGTGTGTCGACGGAGTTGGACTGGCGATGGATGAAATCGTAAAAAATTGAAGCCGATGTGTAGTTGAATGAGATAAAGGACGGGTGGGTGGTGGAGTGTGGGTCACGTGAGGGTGGGGTTCGCTTAGCTTTTCCTACCTTTTCTGCGATTCCATCGTCTGCAAAAAGTCTCTCCTCCCTCCTCATTATCCTTTGTCGGAAATACTCAACGTTTTGATCTTGATGTTGATCAATTGAATTGGTTGCCAGCTTTAGAGCTGTATATATGACTGACTGACGTTTCTACAATTGCTCTCAGCTAGTTCGCAAGGTATGTTCTGAACTTCTTGCAATTCCATTGTTCCTCGTGATTTATCTATGTGATGAGACAACACCTTTTTACTTTATTTTCTGGTACCTCTTATGTCAGAAGCAGATCCTTGTGGTCTGCTTCGATGATCTTAATGGACTTCTGACACCGATGCTTCTTTCATCTTTTGAGCCCTCAAACGATTTTACCGCATCCTTGCTAACTTCGATTTGATGGTAGACGTTTTGGGCATTGCCTTTACTTGAATTGACTCCCTTTACCGCGAGCTGCCGATTATCAAGTCGTGATTCGCATATAGATTAGTTAATAGGGAATGAGAAACATGATAAAAAAATTGCACCTCCCGTGGATGACTACAACCCGGTTCTCAACAGGCAACACTTAATGATATCCGCCCATTTGCGGAGGATGCTATAGGGCTTCTATACCATAAGATCTACTATTTCCTATCTTAGGTTATATGTACGTAGGTGGTAACCGTACCTAACGGTACCCTCACCTCCGAGAAGCTCGAATGGAAACCAGCGACGACTAGTGTCATCTCCGTACTCTGTAAGTGCTGAATACAGCTTGCAATCCCTCATTCACCAAGCAGGTCCAAAAACGGAATGGACGCCGCGTTATCACAGGCTTCATCAACCTGCTGGCAATTGTCGAAAAGTTGTTTGATTTTGAAGCTGCGCACATCGTTCTCCTCCGAGCTTTCACAATTTCATCACACATAATGTTCCGCAGGTTAATTCCCCGTAGAGTCCGGTATTTCTGCGTTGTGATATCCATCAGTTTCGGAATAGCTAGTCACTTTCAGTCAACCCAAATGCAGGTTACGAGGTCCTGAGCTTTCTGGAGATCGGACGGTATTATCACGGAATGTTCAGATCCTGTATGCCAGCAGCCTGAGGATCCGAGAATGTCATTAATCCACTACTCCTCTGGCACTCTGAGCAAGCCGTGTCATGCAAAGTGCATGTCGCAGGAGACGTTAGTGTTGAGTTGTCTTCTCCACTTGGATGTGATATCATATGCAATATTCAACAAGACGAACAGGGATGCAGACAATGGAGGCCGAGTTATTCAACCGCTTGTGGGGTCATTATGAGTCCCCGGACTCTCTCAACGGCCAAACCTGATCTTTTGAGTTTGCTGGTGTACTGCCCTTGTCGCCGCGCAAATGAACTGTATTGTATTTCTTCTCTTGTTATTGAAATTGCGGAGAGAGAGGGACCACACCGCTATTTGAATAGCATCACCTCTGCGGAAGCATGCTCAAGAGAACTGCAAGCATACATTTCGAATGACGACGTCATTTCGAACAAGACTGCGCTCCTCTAGTCCAGTTAGTGCAGATATACCAGGATGCGACCTGGAGCGAAAATTTTGAGCATCCTGTTGTGTTGTTAGACCGGCGTCCCCGCAAGTTGCTTGAACCCTGCGCGCTGTTCCGAGTTCTTCCCAGCTGCAAACTCCTGCAGGCTCGCGATGAGTGGGTTTAACACAAAGCTTACTCCGGTTGCCTTCCGGGACTCCTTTGCTTCTGTCGATATACTGGCGGACATATCAGGAAATCAGTGTCGAAGGAGATGATTTGAAGACCTCAAACAGGGCTTGGTTTGACCTACTTTCGACAAAACCAATGCAGGATATCGACAGGGACAACAGCTCTGGTCTCGTGCGCTTCCCAGTCATCAGACATCCAAGCGATGAAGCATAGCCAGACAAACATCCAGAGAAACACGTAAGAATCTTCGACGTGACGCAACTCTTGAAGGTCGACAAACATAGACTTGCCAGCCAATTCGCTCGTATGGTGCGGACGCACAACGATTTCAAATCCTGAGAACAGCCTTTTCTGGAAGCGGGATTGGAGCAGACAAACGACATCACATCATGTGGCCAGGTTCAGGGAAGAGCCGAGAACGAAAGAACGCTCCCCGATTCGACCGCTGCAGAAAAATGAGAGGATATGAGTACGAAGCACTGTCGAATCAGGTCTATATGACAGCGTCTGCAGAACGGGTGGCGATCAATGCAGGAAGCGCTTTCGGACTGCTGCAGTAGACGTCGATTAATTGGAATAGACGGTGATTTCTTGCGGGCATTGACCACAGCGTACTGCGTATTGACTATCGAGTCCGTGCAATGTGATCAGTAGAGATGAAGATCGATGATCGAGAAGCGTCTGTGATAATTGTAGATTGGCTTGCGAGAGAACCAATTCTCGTCCAGATCACCGCAAGGATGAAGGAAGGGAGGCCGATTGGTTCGATGGCTGGAGGAGTTCGATGTGACTCGCTTGTCAATCAACCAAGGAGAAGGCAGCATCGACGCTGGAGGTCAACAAACCCATCGAGTCTTGATACTTTCTACTTCTGTTTATTCAAAGGAAGCCGGCCAGGATCGGGAAAGTTCAATAATGGTCGTATAGATGTTAAGAAGTCAGTTATCATGTTTCTCCTTTCCAGCAAATCCCGCTGCGCCTTACGCCGCTAAAGTTTGCCTCGAGCGATGCATGCTATATTGCGGTTAATTGCTGCTGATCGTTCCGCAAATCACCGCCGATTCCACCGGTTCCCCATAATCCAGAGCTGATGCCATGCCAATGCTCAGCTTGGTTCTATTGTCTCATATCTACGGAGAAATTAGCACCATTGCAATATCGACGAGGTCTGGGCTCAGCCTGCCTCTTCCAAAGACTGTATGGAGCATAAGTGCGCGTGTGCGACAGTCTTCAGCACCAAACAGACGGCCAATTGACGAGATTCGTGCAATACTGTGGCAAAACTAAATACAGTCTTTCTGTGCACCGTTGTGTCTTCTGTTGATGGCAAAATCGCAACCTCGCCTCGAGGATTGGACCCCTCTAGGCTGCCGTGTAATCTCCCCTCGTGCACATCGGAATAATAATTCTCGTGCTATGACTAGACTCAGGGTTATGATAATTAGCCTGATAGTAGAGCCTGTTTGCTGTTTGTCCGCGGCATAACATGAGGCTGACTATGTCTCTGGTCTATCTCTGTAATTGTTTATTTTCTGATATTGCCACTATTGCCATTGCGCTGATCGCCAGAAAGTGCGGCGTAGCTGCAGTAGTCGTTCGACATTTGCCTCACAGAGGTCGGGGATCAGCTTTGCTATGACATTCTGCATCAGACCTACAATGGTTGCAACGAATCAGAGATGGAGTCTCCTGCCGCTATTGGTTTATTTACGTATATATACAACATCTGAATACTCAATCACCAATCTAGCTCTTACGACTAAGTAGAACCCGTTTGAGTATAGAGTGCGCAGCTAGAATTTATACTAATCATCACACATCGTGAGACGGGCCGTGTCAATCTTATAGACCATTATTCCAGAGGACTTCGGTGGTGCCCAACTCGGGGAGAGCCCGAGCCGCAGAAA